ATGGTCATGTGGCCGGCATGACTCAATGCCAAAGGTGCATGGAACACTGTTCCCTTCCCACCAAAGATGGTCCCAATTTTTTCTACTTGCATTTTTTAAGTGCTTTCGAACTGCTAGGTTGGCAGAAGCTGGGACAAGTAACGGGAGCTCACCCTGTTATGCGTCACTAGGGATTCGAACCGCTGAACTGCCAACCTTTCTGATTGACAAGCTCTGCGTCTTACCCACTGAGCCACCTGACTTTCTCCTTAGTAGTTCTTTAATTCTTTACTAGTTGGAATGTTTCTTGAATCAAGGAACTACCAAGGAGAAAACCACACCCTCACCAATTCAGCCAGGGCAAGCCATTTGTATATAAACAGAGAGCAAACCCCACTCCCTTCTAGACTTGATGATGTTATCTAGTTGGGTCATGAAACTTCTGCAAGAAAACAAGCCAAACTCAGAGGGCACCAAGGACCCCATAGTTCAACCCCACGCTACAAATATTCTCTTCCGTTAGTACACAAGATAATTTGTGAACTGGATAGCATCTTTCAATTTTGCATCTTCACCTTGGAGATATTTCTTCCAGCAGAGGGAGCTCAGTAACAATCCACTTTTAAAGCTGTCATCGCCCAGAAAGTCTGCATTGCATAAATATTTGAGAAAAAGCAACGTGTTTAATTTCTAACAGAGCTCTGCAGTCCAAATGAGTTTAGAATGTTTTCCTTACGCCCTGGATTAAATCCTCCCTTCAGATGCTAATGAAAACACGAGATTTGCTTCAACTGAACTTGTGTAAATCACCAAGGTTTGTAAAACACAGTTTATGGCAAACCGGGTTTGCTTGTTACTGTTTCATCTCAATATTCCCATGAGGACCTCAACGCAGCAATCCAGGAGAGTCCCCCTCATTTTATTCTCACAATAACAAGCCAATGGCTGTTTCAGAAACACACTCGCTCCCAGACAAAGACTTTACACTTTAGAAAACATGGTTTTGATCTCAGTAATCAAGAAGGAATTTGAACCCAGGACTCCTCAGGTTGACTATACACTCTTCTTATTTACTCATCCTTGCTAAGATTCGGTCCAAAAATGCTTTGGCCATCTGTGAAACCATTCGTTGTTTGCATCCCTATCAGAATGTTTCTGAACTAGCTGGCGGCTGATATCCTTGGCTGATATCAAAGATATGGCCTCACTCAACCACAAAGATATGATTAAAGAGTGGGGTGGAGGAGTGGGGACACCCTGTTTTAAGCCTTGGAATACTCAGTCATGGAAACCCCCAAGTGGGACTTTGGGTCCATCACCCAGAGAAGAGAAGAGAAGAGAAGAGAAGAGAAGAGAAGAGAAGAGAAGAGAAGAGAAGAACAGAGTTGGAAGGGACCTTGGAGGTCTTCTAGTCCAACCCCCTGCCTAGGCAGGAAACCCTACATCACTTCAGACAAATGGTTATCCAACATCTTCTTTAAAACTTCCAGTGTTGGAGCATTTACAACTTCTGGAGGCAAGTTGTTGCACTGGCTAATTGTTCTCACTGTCAGGAAATTTCTCCTTAGTTCTAGGTTGCTTCCCTCTTTGATGAGTTTCCACCCATTGCTTCTTGTCCTGCCTTCAGGTGCTTTGGAGAATAGCTTGACTCCCTCTTCTTCAGCACACCCAACCTCAGAGGTTGTCTGTCTTTGGGATAAAATGCAGAAAGATTCTTATACTAATCTTCTTGAGCTCTGGAAGAAAAAGATGGACTATGAACTGACCCAGTAAATCAATCATTTCAGTCCAGGACCAATTGAGAAGGCTGGTTCTTCTCCACTCCCCAAAGGGACATGATGTAGCTGGAAGTCTTTATGATGGATCAGAAAACAAGCCATGACACAGTTCATTCTGCAGTGACCTCCTTATTATCCGCAGCTTTCTCAAGGCAGTGCTCTGAATGGCATTGCCGGTTGATTGACGCTTCCCTACACAAAAGCTGAGGTCTCCGTGAGAGCATCCCAAGGAGGGGCAACGCCAAATGGACATCTCCATCGTCTCTGGTGATGAGAACAGCTGAACTCTGTTCTGCAGCTTTGAGGCCAAGCTGCCTTGGCAGTTCATAACCTTGAATGACAAAAGACTTTTGGGTTGGGTTTAAGTAGACAAAAGAGCCAGAAACTGGTCTGAAGGTCCCCAATGCTTGGATGGATGAAGACTGTGGGGACTTAACATTTTGTTTCTGGTGCCAACTGGAAAATTCTTTTCATAAATGAAAATCCACACACCCTTGAGAAGAGATCACCCTTCTGCTACTTAACTTTCTGCTCACGGATTGGGTGAAAATCGATGGGGCCAGGGTGCTAATGGACTTTTTTCTTAATTGTAAGGAAGGGACTTGATGGTGGCTTTAATTCAGAGCAGTCCTTTGGCCCCAAATCTCCCCAAATGCAAAAACAAAAAAAGAAAAAAAAAAGAAAGAACTACACTGTTAGTCTCTTCTTTAAAAAAAAAAGAAGTATGCAGGCCACACTTCTATTCTTCCAGTGTGCAGCTGTGAGTGCACCATACCATGTGGTCCTTGGCTCAACTGTAGGAAACACAACAGGAATGCGTTTTGTACAGACTCTCTGTCTCCTTAGACTTCACGAAATGTGTTGCAGGACTGGATTTAAGGTCCCTGCCAAGCCACTGTATATAACAATGCAAGCCGATGGACGAATTTACCAACAATTGCATGAAATCCCAATGCTGCATAAAACACAACTCCAGCAAGTTTTCATTTGTGCTTCCTAGGAACTAATATTATCTTGCCTATCCATACTGTTGGAGATAATATGTAGTACAGTGGTACTACACCTTCAGAGGTGGCATTCAGCCGGTTCATACCAGTTTGGGCGAACTGGTAGCGGCAACTTCGCCCCCCACCCCCCGGCAGTTCCTCCCTTTCAGAGAACACTTTCCCCATTTCATTAGACGAGGACCCTGGGCGGTCTTTGAACAAATCCCCAACAGGCGTCGGTGACCAAAATGCTTTGTCTTTGGTTACGGGTGACTGATTAATGTGATGTTGCGGAGTCCTGACAGCAGAGGTCTTCCTGCGGTGCTGCTGCCGCTTTCCACACGAGGCGCCCAGAACAAAGATTATGTTACTGGATATCTCTGTGCTCTTTGCTGGGCGTCCATATTTGGAGGCTGCTGGTGCCCCAACTGTCACAACCGACTGAAATCCAGACATCAGGGTAACATGTCAAGGATGGAAGATTGAGTCAACCTTGAGACAGTCAGGATTGAACACCTGGCAGTGGGCAGAGTTTGCCTGCAATATTGCATTCTAACCACTGTGCATCATGGAAGGAAGGGAGGAGGGAGGGAGGGAGGGAGGGAGGAAGGAAGGAAGGAAGGAAGGAAGGAAGGAAGGAAGGAAGGAAAATAGCAACAGCACTTATATACCGCTTCACAATGCTTTTACAACCCTCTCTAAGCGGTTTTACAGAGTCAGCCTCTTCCCTCCAACAATCTGGGTCCTCATTTTACCCACCTTGGAAGGATGGAAGGCTGAGTCAACCTTGAGCCTGTTAGGATCGAATTCCTGGCAGTGAGCAGTGTGAATAACCACAGTGATTCGCTTAACAACCGTGGCAAAAATGGTCATAAAACTGGGGCGACTCACTTAAGAATTGCCTTGCCTAGCAACAAAAATTCTGGTCCCAATCATAGTCAAGGATTACCTGCATTTTCTTTTTTTCAAATGTAAGAATCCTTGGTGTATTTCTACGTCTCCGTGCCAATTTATCCTTCCTGTGGGGTGCCTTCCTTAATAAGGCACACGTAGTTCGTTTCACGCAGTGCACAGTTGTGCAAAAAAAAACCCCTCAAATGAGGCCTTCAGTTTTCCTTTAAGTTTCAAATAATGTGAACGATCGTTGTTTGATAGAGATAAAGGCCACATGGTTATCAAGTTTTGTTTGTTAAACTGGCTTCCATAGAGGCCGGCTAGGAGGCAAACAAACGATTGCAAACCCACCAAAGGAAAACAACATCCACAAAAATAATGAAAGAATACAAGAATAGACTGCTTCATGATATAGGGAGTCCACATTGAGTTACCATAACTAGAACCAACCATTCGATTGTTAATCTAAGATGTTGTTAAGTGAAAACATGACTCTGCTTAGGATCTTAATTCATTTTTCCTTTGCTTTACAGATCTGCCAAAATTGTAAATCCGAGGATCGGTTGCAAAGTGGGTTTTTTTCCCCATCATCATCATAAATGCAAACGGTTACTAAATGAGGATTATTTTATAAGAGAGACTTGTTCCTTGTCTGTTTAAGATTTGGGGTTTCCTTGACTCCTAGGATGCATCGTTAGAAACGCATCAGAAGTGCAAATACAGAATACAGAAATCAACACAGCGTTCTTTGGTTTTAGCTAGGTTTGAATCTATCCCTGTTTCATGGTTATCTCTGATTTTTTTTTTTTGAAATGGTTATTCCAACCATTGCAGATTCTCTGGTGTTTTCTGGCCCAACAAGATGCTAAAACCATCTTCTGGATTCCTTGCAGGACTCTGAGATTCTTAAACGTCTTTGGCTTCCCCGCAATATGAAATAAAAGAAAAGTAAAAATAAAAGGGTTGTATACCTTGGTTGGCCACCAGGTAGAAAGAAAGAAAGAAAGAAAGAAAGAAAGAAAGAAAGAAAGAAAGAAAGAGGGAGAGGGAGGAAGGAAGGAAGGAAGGAAAAAGAAAGAGAGAAAGGAAGGCAGGCAGGAAGGAAGGAAGGAAGAAAAAGAAAGAAAAGAAAAGAAAAGAAAATTAGGAAGAAGAAAAGGCCCTTAACAGCTGTGATGGACTTTCCTGGAAAAGCTGTTTGCTCCAACATGTCCTTCCTATTCCTTGGAGACCGTTTTTATCACATCCTTCTTATTATTTTCCCAGCTTTCTCCTTTTCTTCGCTCCCAGCGGCTGACATCCGATCCTTTCTTCCCCTCCTAATTTGAATGACCTCCCTCCACCACCCACCACCTCTCTCTCTCTCTGTCTCTCTCTCTCTCGTTCTCTGTGGGTCCGTTTTAGGAGAGCCAGATGTTGAGACAAAGGTCTAAAAATAATCTTTTCATCTATCTTTCCTTGGAAAGCTGGGTGGCCGGGGAGAGGTGGGGAGACCTCTGCTTGGGAGCAATCGCAAGATCGGGAGCAACAGATCCAACTTGGAGCAAGGAACTTATTGGCCACGCCACAGCATCCTTTCTGGACCCGGTCTTGAACCCTTTTAAGGACAAACCGTCTGGGAGAGAAGAGAATTTGACTTTGGCGGATTAGCTAATTTCCATTCCTCCCTTTCTCTTTTCTCCTGCAAAGAAAGCTGAAGCAAATTCCATCCTCCACGGGAGTTTGCAATTTTCATTTTTTTTTTTTTTTTGTTTTTTTGGATAGGGCCCACAAAGGCAGCTGGAGGAGGACGTAGAATGGGGAGCAAGCTGCATTTTTGCACCAGGTTCTTCACAACGACTTTATGCCTCGTGTTTCTGCTCTACCCGTCCTGGAACTATGCAAAGAGGCGCTGGAGAAGACAACTGAAGGCTTCCCCATTGAAGCTGGCGGAGAATTACGACGTAAGTAAAAGCTGCAGTCAAGAAAAGGGGAAGGGTAGAACTGCGACGCGTTGCAGGAATCCTCCGAGGTCACTTAGTCTGACCTTCTGCTGAAGATGTAACAACATGTACGGGATGTAGGTTTTATAGTTAGGCTTCAGGGTGGTTTGCTAGTCTTTGAAGGAAAGAAAACTCACAAGTAAGTCTTTCAGCTTTCTCTCCAGAGAAATCGAGTGATTAGAAGCTTCCACACTTGGCTAAGTTCTGTCAACATCTGTCTTCAGATTTTTGTCATAGTTTCATCGGACTTTCCATCCCCATCAGGTCTTTGCTCATCGTACATTTTCTCTGTCCTAAATCCCCCAGAGAGTTTAACAAAACGTAAGTCTTCTGGCTTGGGTTGAGTTGTGTTGCTTGGCACACATCTGAAGAAATATTCTTTGCCAAAAGGGATGTGGTCTAATCAAGCAAAGACTCCCTTAAAGATGTTTTTTATTTTTACTTTTATTTCACTTTTTCTGTTTCCACAAAGGGACAAGTTTGATACGGTTACTCTACCCACTTATGTACTTACACCTAACTTAGGAGCAGGGAGATAACTTTTCTGCTGTGAAACTTTACTTTTCTCTTTTTAATTAACTTTGCTCTGTTAATTATCTTAGCCTATTGAATTGAAAAAAAAAGTAATAATTGTGGAATTTAGGGTGATAAATTGTGATTTCTTTTCCTTACTTGCCCATGGTGAGTTATAGTTGAATTTACACCAGGTTACGGCGTGTTTATTGTGCTTTTAATTTATGGGTGGGTGTTTTGATAGCTCCAATAACTGAAATCTTAGTTATATATGCTTTCTGGACTGTTTTAATGTTTGCGGAAGTTAAAATATGTAGGAACACTATGTATTTCTTCAAATATAAGTCCTAAGAGAATCAGAGAGAAACTTATTCTTAATTATGTGTTCATCCTGATTCTGAAACTGCAGAATAGAACTGAATTCTTCTTAAGAAAACAGTTTCTTAATATTGGCAAAGAGGTAGCCAATAATCTATGCATCCAAAAGTTTTGTGTTGCCTAAAATGCTAACTCACAAATATACGGTTTGTGGCTGCCACTTTTCAAACACATATAGCTTCTTAATATGAGTCAGTTTTTAACAATAACCCTTTGGTTAGTGGGATGTAGGAAACCAGCGAAATTCATGAATTAATTGTTTTCAAACACTGGCATCTCTTCAAAAATAAATAATAGGGGAGGGAAAAGCAGAATTAAAAAAGAATTAACTCTGGAATACTTTTTTTAGGAAATAAGAGCTTTCAGGCATAATGAGACAACACGTTTAAGATCAGATATTTTATTAATTTACTGGATGGCTGCCTTACAAGTCTTGTTTACTGATATGAAATGCTTATAATGCAAAGGTGATTTTCAAAAGACAGCTGGACTTTCTTGCAGGATTTTTTTCCTTAAAAACATTTTGCTTCTCCAGGTTTTCAAGGAAAAAGACACGCAAAAAAAGACAAGTTGTCTTTTGAAAAGCACCTTTGGGACAATCTGGATGATTGAGGCTCTCCCATGCACGTGGTCAGAAGGCCAATCCCACATCTGGCAACATGAAATCTTGGTATTTTACCTGGCAAACATGATTGTTAAGAGATTCATGATCATTAAAAAAAAAAAATCTCTCTACCATATGAACCTTTCTCCTCAACCAAGAAGAGAAGCAATCTAGAACTAAGGAGGAATTTCCTGACAGAACAATTAACCAGTGGAACAACTTGCCTCCAGAAGTTGTAAATGCTCCAACACTGGAAATTTTTAAAAAGATGTTGGATAACCATTTGTCTGGAATGGTATAGGGTCCCCTATAAGGGGTTTGACTAGAAGACCTCCAAGGTCCCTTCCAACTCTGTTATTGTTCTGTTCTGTTCCGTTCTGTTCCGTTCCGTTCCGTTCCGCTCCACTCCACTCCACTCCATTCCATTTTTCCACTCCACTCCACTCCATTCCACTCCACTCCACTCGCCTCCACTCCATTCAATTCTTCCACTCTATTCTACTCCACTCCACTCCACTCCACTCCATTCCATTCCATTCCATTCCATTCCCCTCCCCTCCACTCCCCTCCCCATTCCATTCTGTCATAGCCCACATCCATGTCTGCTGATAAAATTGTGCCAAAATTTACATAGTTTTCCAAACACTGTCCTGAACACATGCAGGGATTTTGGCCTGGAATTTCCCCAGCGATTTATTTGGCCTCAGCCAAATAAATCAAATCTTGTGTTAAATAAATAAATCAAATCTTCTTGGTGGGTTCCAGGATAAGATTCTCCCATCGTGTGTTCGGATACAACTTGGCTCCTTTTTAAAACAGGCTCGCTCCGTGGTGTCCTTCCCACATCTTCCCAAGACCCAGTCTCAAAGACCTTCCAACCTGGTTCTGGGGAACCATAAAGGAAGCTGTGGCACCAACCCAGAGCTGTGGACTGTTGGGTGGAGTTGGCTTCCCCAAGGGAGGAAACCAACTCTGGGGCAGGTGGAAGTCCCAAAGGGCCTGGAGAATTGTTTGAGGTTAAAAGGCCAAGGTGTTTTTTTTATCGCTGTTTCTTTGAAAGATCGTTTCCTCTCTTTGTAACAAGAAGCCCTGAGAATTTTCAGGAATGAAAACTTTTTTAAAAAGAGAGGGGGTGGTGGAAAGAGGAGGAATGGTGTTCTCCACTGAACTCAAAGACATTTTTTTTTAATTTGATTTATATGCCGCCCTTCTCCGGAGACTCAGGGCGGCTTACAATGCATTAAGCAATAGCCTTCATACTTTTGTATATTTATACAAAGTCAGCTTATTGCCCCCACAAACTGGGTCCTCAATTTATCTACCTTAGAAAAGATGGAAGGCTGAGTCAACCTTGAGCCTGGCAAGATTCGAACCTGCAGTAATTGCAGGCAGCTGGAGTTAAATTACAATGCATTAGTCTGCTGAGCTATCCAGGCTCCTGGATAGCTTGAGAGGATTTTGCTAGTTTGTTTTAGATCTGTATGTATAAATAAAAGAAATTCTTTGGAATGAGTGAGTATATGGGTACCTTTTGATGGTGCATTAGACTTGATTACTCCTCTCCTTAGTTTCTCCAATATTAACAAATATGCAAAGGGAGACTCCCAGTGGCAGACTTTAGGATTAACTCTCATAGATTAATCAAGTTATAGGTGAGGTAAAGGTTCCCCTCGCACATATGTGCTAGTCGTTCCCGACTCTAGGGGGTGGTGCTCATCTCCATTTCAAAGCCAAAGAGCCAGTGCTGTCCACACAGGGACTAAGTCATAGACTTAGAGACTGCTGACATCCTTTTCCTTCCTATCATATCATTGTGAGTTGCAAGGGGCAGCGAGATGCTTCCTTGGTCCCTCAAGATGACAGATAGTTTTTTTTCCCATATATACTAATAGAAAGTCACTTCTCCACTACTATGAGAATAGTACAGTACCTAATTGAAAGGATTAAATCTCAGAGGTCTGAGACAGCTGGAAAGATAATGGAACAAAGTCGGAACAGACAAAGAAGGACATCTGGCAAATTCACCTGAAGGGAACTTTGTCAAACCACAGCAAGTGTGAAAATGCGGTGTTATTTGGATGTTACCTATATCTGCTGGCTAAAAACATCTGCTCACATCACTTGGTGGGAATGGCCCAATTTAATGGGAATTCTGTTCTTCTAAATTTGGTTTGTGTCCAGGCTGTGTAGGATATAATCTTTCTCATCTGAAAAGATTAGTAATAATCCTTTTGAAAGGATTTTTATTCCTGGTGGCAGGTCATCTGCGTATCCCCCGAGCTAGCAGAAACACTCAGAATGCCTCTCATTAATTAGAAGAGAATGTGGGCCAAAGTAGGAGAAGCTGTGAAGTCAAATTTAGTGCCTTGACCTTGGAGATGTCGGAGCCATTTTGGGGGGTGGGGGTGGAGGACAAGAGACAATCATCCTTCCGATTGGAAGGATTTAACTTGTATATCTGTAGCTCAGGGTTGAACTGAGAGGTTCTTGGTGCTCTCTGAGCTGGCAGGTTTTCTTGCTGACATTTCATGACCCAGCTTGGTAACATCATCAGTGACAGAAGGGAGTGCTAGCAGTATTTGCATCTGGGAACAATGCAGCTTGGTGGTTTTCTTGCAGGCGTTTCATAACCCAGCTAGGTAACATTATCAGTGCTACAAGGGAATGGGGTTTGCAGGGGAGAGGAGGGAGAGGAGAACTGTGGGATCCTTGGAGCTTTCAGGGCTTGGTGACCATGTCTTTGTTTCAAAGAGATTTGCACCAGATAAATCCTCATGGTTTTTTTGTGAGTGCTTGGTGCTCTCTGAGCTTGGGTGATTTCCTTGAAGACATTTCGTTGCCCAACTAGGCAACATCATCAGTGCTAGTAAGTGTGGAGTTTGCTCTATGTTTAGATATAATAACTTGCCCTCCCTGTGTTGGTTGGGAGTTTGCAGATCACGCACCATCTGTTTATTTGTTCCCAAATGCAAATAAGGATAAAAAAATCAATAAACTTCCGTCATCTCCTTTGGCAAACATATGAAATTTAATCGGCATTGCATTCTGGTGTTTTTCACTGCTCAAAACTAGGGATGAGAAGATAGTTTCCATATGGAGCCATTCTCAAGCGGAGGACTCTGCAGAATTGTCCTTGCTAGCTAATGCCACCTTGTGGAACATCTAGGTATATTATATACAATTTTCAAAAATCTTTCAGAAGAAAAACATGCCTTGCAAACTTTCTATTCCTCGGTTCGCGTGAAAACCTCGAACCAGGGGTGAAATCCAGCAGGTTCTGACAGGTTCTAGAGAACCGGGTAGCGGAAATTTTGAGTAGTTTGGAGAACCAGCAAATACCACCTCTGGCTGGCCCCAGAGTGGGGTGGGAATGGAGATTTTGCAATATCCTTCCCCCAGGAGTGGGGAAGGAATGGGGATTTTTCAGTATCCTTCCCCAGGAGTGGGGAGGGAATGGAGATTTTGCAATATCCTTCCCCCAGGAGTGGGGAGGGAATGGGGATTTTTCAGTATCCTTCCCCCAGGAGTGGGGAGGGAATGGAGATTTTGCAGTATCCTTCCCCTGCCACGCTCACCAAGCCACGCCCACAGAACCGGTAATAAAAAAAAAATTGGATTTCACCACTGCCTTGAACAATCCATCAAGTTACAAAGGTGAATAGGTGTGTTAGCACGATTGATAGAAAAGAATGGGAGAAGGTGTTTGAAAAATGCTGAAGGGGGGGTGGGTCGAGTAAAAAAAATCTATTTTCTTCCAGGATTATGAGGACTCCCTTCATCCCCATAGCGCACACTACCAGAAGAATGACCGGTGTCCGCCCCCATCGCAGACCTTACCAGAACGAGCGTGTGAGGCACCCAGCTGTCGATCGGACTCTGAATGCGAGAAACACAAACGCTGTTGCTATAATGGATGCATCTACGCCTGCTTAGAATCGGTGCCCCCACCCCCAGGTAGACCAGCCCCATAATAACTCATGCTGGAGGTGCGATCGGAGTAGGCCCATCCCTGAAACGCTTGAAATGTCTCGAATGTGGGGTAGTTTTTAAATTGTCCTTCGAGTCCTTCACAAGGACGGGTGCAAGGTAAATGGAAGCAGCATCTGTTTAAAGTGGTAGACCTGGTTGATTCCCAAGATGCTATTATGGGAGTCTACAAAAAGGATGAAAGATGCACAGGGACAGGATGTGTTCGTATCAGGGGTGAAATGCTCCCGGTTCAGACCGGATCGCCCGATCCAGTAGCGATGGAGGTGAGTGATTCGGAGAACTGGTAGCAAAAATCCCTGCCCCTGCCCCCCCCCCCCAATGCCCAGCTGAGCCGCACAATCATCAGAGGCTTTTTTTTACTTTTAAAAGCATTTTTCTACAACCTCTTCGGGCAAAAAATGCTTTTAAAAGTAAAAAAAATAAAGCCTCTGATGATTGTGCGGCTCAGCTGGGATCGTCAAAGGCTTTTAAAAGGAAAAAAACCCCTTTTTTTCTTTTAAATGCCTCTGACGATCCCGGCTGAGTTGCCTGATCGTCAGAGGCATTTAAAAGGAAAAAAACCTCTGACGATCAGGCAACTCAGCTGGGATCGTCAGAGCCTTTTGAAAGTATTTTTTTTACAACCTCTTCAGAGGTTGTAGAAAAAATGATTTTAAAAGTTAAAAAAATTAAATTGGCTACGCCCACCCAGTCACATTACCACACCACCACCACCAAGCCACGCCCACAGAACCGGTAGTAACAAATTTTAGACTTCACCACTGGTTCCTATGGCATGGATCATCAAACCGTGGTTATGGCCAGTGGTGCGACCCACTGGCATAGCCTCTTCTGTTCTTCTCGTTAAATGTGTCTTTTCCTTGGTGCTATCTGAACTCGGTTGTTTTCTTGCAGACGTTTCCTTATCCAAATTAGGTAACGTCGTCAGTGCTAGTCTCGTTGATGTAGATCAGGGGTCCCAACTCAAGGTAAGGGGGCTGGATCCGGACTGTGGGGGGTGCTTAGATTTGGCCCATGGGGCTGCCCAGGAAACAGCGAAGGACCAGCCTGTGGTGCCTCTGCCAGAGAAAACGAAGTTCAGGAAGGCCACGTGTGGTCCTCCCGGACTCTGTTCTTCGTTGCAACAGCTCCTGCAGCCTCTGCCAATGAAAACGGAGCTCGGGGGACACACACACCCCTCCCCACACGAGCTTCGTTTTGAGTGGCAGAGGACTGCAGGAGGCCGTCACGGCTGAAAACGGAGCTCGGGAATCCATTTTTGCTGGCAGAGCACACAGGCCACCACAGGCGCCCCACCCCCGACACAAATGATGTCGAGCTGGCCATGCCACCCCCTGGCCACCCCACCCCCCCCACTCCCTGCCCCCCAAGGTCAAACACACCCTGATGCAGCCCTCAATGAACTCGAGTTTGACACCCCTGACGTAGATGATGTTACCTATTTTGGGTCATGAAACGTCTACAAGAAAACAACCAAGTTTAGAGAACATCAAGGACCTCTCATTTCAACCCTGAGCTACACATATTCTCCTTTATGGATGCTTCTTCTTCATAATAAGAAATATTCTGTCTCTTTTTTTAAAAAAAAAAACAAGTTTTAGACTGGCTGATTCAGCCTAAACCTCGCTGGTTGGGTGGAAATGGCTGGCTCCTGGACGGCCCAGAAGAAGTCCTACAAGGTACAGTAGCAGAACTACAGCAGTGATAGCACCAAAAGTGCCATGTGGGGCCTTCGTTGATCTTGAGATGTTTGCTTCCATAGCTGAAACATGCAGTACCACCAAGGATGGAGATGACCCACTTCATTGTCCAACGGGATTTGAATGCCACATCATTCACCCTGGGAATGCCGCCGAGGGCATCCCCAACCAGGGACAGTGCATCAAGCTACGTGGGAACTCGGGTGAGTTACTGGTAGGAATGCGAAGCATCCGAGTTCATAAGTCATGGCCCTGCAAGATAATATGTGAAAGTCACATTCATAAGGACTTCTTGCAGAAGACAGGCGTGGGGAGGTTGTGCTAGTTAGAAGTTGTCCTAGAAGAGGTGGTGAGAGGAGGAGAAGAACTGGAACCAAGATGTAGAAAAAGTCGAGGAAGTTCAGTTTTGCCCTGTCTCTACATTCCAAAATTTAGATCAGGGGTGTCCAAATTCAATTCAAATTCAAATTCAAACCTTTATTGTCAGTGCACAACATATGTGCAATGAGATTGGTTGAGCTCCCTCAGTGCACACACCCAACACAAAACAACTCACAGTGAAGACAGAAAATCCTTAACCCAATAAATCATATTAATGTCCTATTGCACCAGTGTGAACATGTTACCTGTCGCACTGGCCCTGCAAGTCCATTGTACTACGTAGTTATGATGTTATTTCGCATTCAGGACAGGATAAAAACTCAAACTCAATTTTATTGAGGGCCGCATCAGGGTTGTGACCTTGGGGGGCTGGGTGTGGCCAGCTTGACGTCAGTCATGTCAGGGGTGCCTGTGGTGGCCTAAGCACTCTGACAGTGAAAACGGGCTCCAGAGCTCCGTTTTCGGCTGCAACAGCTTCCTGCAACCCTCTGTCAATGAAAATAGAGCTCCATTTTTGCTGGCAGAGGAAATGCAGGCTGGTCCTTTGCAGAGGTGGATTTCAGCAGGTTCTGACCGGTTCTGGAGAATCAGTAGCAAAAATTTTGAGTAGTTCGGAGAACCAGTAGTAAAAATTCTGACTGGCCCAGCCCCCATCTATTCTCTGCCTCCCAAGTCCCAGCTGATCAGGAGGAAATGAGGATTTCGCAGTAACCTTCCCCTGGATTGGGATGGGAATGGACATTTTACAGTATCCTTCCCCTGCCACGCCCACCAAGCCATGACCACCAAGCCATGCCACGCCCACCAAGTCACACCTACAGAAATAGTAGTAAAAATTTTTTGAAACCCACCACTGGTCCTTTGCTGTTTCCAGGGGGCCCCCGTGGGCCAGATCTAAGCCCCCGGGCCTTGAGTTTTGACACCACTGATTTAGATATATCCAAGTGTAGAATGATCTTTGGGAATTGGTACAAAAACTAAAATTAGGCATTGCTGTTTCCTGCTGTAGTTCTCCATCCTTCTTGGTTTCTCTGCCTCTGTGAAACCTGCTCTCAGAACCTAAAGCACAGCTCAGTGGTTGGTTCCCAACTCAACTTTGTCATTTCCTTTTTGAAGAGATTTGAAGAGAAAAGAAGGCTCACCACGCTTGTTATCTGTGCAACATGGGCATTTGTGAAGATGCTTAAGCTTTGATTTTTCTTTTTTTTTTCCTTCTCCAGATGGATGGAATCTAAGACCCAAATACTACAAGGACTATTTTGGTAAGTTTCAGCACTAAAATAACAAAATAACAGAGTTGGAAGGGACCTTGGAGGTCTTCTAGTCAACCCCCCTGCTTAGGCAGGAAACCCTATACCAGTGATGGCAAACCTTTTCGGCGTTAAGTGCCGAAAGGTCGCGCGGAAGCATTGCTCGTGCATGCACACCCTCGACGGGGCTGCGCTCCAGAAAAGCTGAATTTCTGGGTTCTAGCACGCATGCACGCCCAACAATCAACTGGCCAGCACACATGCACAGGCCAGTTTCTGGCACTGCCGTGCGCGCAAAGGGATCACGCTCCAGAAAAGCCAAACTTCCGGGTTCTGGCACTCATGCAGACCTGACAATCAGCTGGCTGGCGGGCATGCACTCACCGTTTTTTGGCACTGCCGCACACACAAAGGACAGCTGATCATTGTGTGTGCGTGCATGCCAGAAACCCGGAAGACAAACAGGCAAGGCCGCACATGCCGGGTAACATGGCTTCACATGCCACTTCGGGCGCGCGTGCCATAGGTTTGCCATCATGGCCTTATGCCATTTCAGACCAATGGTTGTCCAATCTCGTCTTTAAAACTTCCAGTGTTGGAGCATTCATAAAAAGCAGTTCATGATTAAATCATATTTCGGAGAAGCAGCAATCTGAAGAACACGGATCTAGAAAGGTTGATTACTTAGGTCATCCTCAATTTATAACCATTTCTTGAACGTTTGACGTCCAAAGTTACAACAGTGCTGAAAAAAAGTCCTTCTTACAATTGGTCCTCGCAATTATGACCATCACCCCATCCCCATGGTCAGACAGTCGCAAGTTGGGGACTGGGCAACCAGCTCGCATTTTCGACCAGCTGCAGTGTCTGCCAGTCACATGATCACAAATTGGCACCTTTTTCCAGCAATTTCTGGCAGAAAACCCCACATATTCAGAAGGATGGATTCATGCTTACAACTGTGGGGTTCGCTTAACGACTATGGAGTCACTTAATGACTGTCATAAAAATGGTCGTAAGATCACGTCGGACTCCACTTACGATTGCAACAACTTACGACAGAAACCCTGGTCCCAATTGTAGTCATAAGTTGAGGTTCATCCTTCATTTTACCATAATAAACAAGAAAGAGATCTTTGGGTTGAAGAGGCCGGGCTGTGCAGAATATAGGAAAAGATCTGGAAACCAGGAGCCAAACAAAAATGCGACAGGAAGTGAGATTGTTTTCGTGGAAAGGAGCTAGTTCGCCTTGCCATTTCCTTAAAAAAAAAAAAAAATCTCAAAATTAATTTAGGTTTACTATTTTAACTGCTTGTTTTTCCGCCGTTCTTTTGCAGGGCGCAGTTCCAGCAATGTCGTGGGTTATGTGAAGCAAACGCAGAAGCATCTTGGTTAATTCAAGGAGGACTTTTCCAACCGGCCAAGTGTGATGTCAAAGGGAAAATAATAATGACGTTAGATGGGCAAAGGATAACCATAACTGAGGGCCAAATATTTTTGATCTCTTGGTGCCAGGCTAGCTTGAATTTCTTTTCAATGTGCCTCATATAAACCTACTGCCGGGGAAAGGGGTTAGATGGTCTTCAACCCTTATCATTAAAACCAGGATGGACAAGAGTGGTTTTTTCTAGTAACTCTATACCCGTGATGGTGAACCGGTGGCACTCGTAGCCATATTAGTGGGCACGCCAGCTCAGCTCTGGTGTGCATGCGTGCACCGGCCAGCTGATTTTCGGGCCTTCTGGGCCCACCAGAAGTAGGGAAACAGGCTGTTTCCTGCCTCCAGAGGGCCTGGAGGGTGGGTGGGGAAAGCCCATTTTTCTTTCTCACCTAGAGAGGCTCTGGAGACTGGGGACAACAAAAAACGTCACTTCCTGTCCAACCGAGAGTTGGGAAATGGGCCATTTCAGGCCTCTGGAGGGCCTCCGAGGGGTGGGGAAGGCTGTTTTCGCCCTCCCCAGATGCATAGAGAGGATCTGGAGCCAGGTGAAAAAGAAAAACGGGCCTACCAGGCCATCGAGTGCCAGGAGTGGGGGGCGAGGGGGGTTATGCACGCAAGCACAGGGCGGGGTACATAGAATTATGGGTGTGGGCACGCGCATGCGTGAACCTCCCCCCCTTCCTGGCACGCGATGGCAAAAAGGTTAGCCATCACTGCTCTATACTTTAATACCGTGTTTCCCCGAAAATAAGACTGGGTCTTATATTAATTTTTGCAATAGTTGCAATAATTTGCAAAAGTCTTAAAGTTGTCAAGGTTAGAGACCCCTGGATTAGAAGATCTCCAAGCTTTGCTGGCTGAGGAACTCTGGGAGTTGAAGTCCACAAGTCTTAAAGTGTCAAGGTTGGAGACCCCTGTTCTAGTCCAACCCTCTGCCCAAGCAGAAGACCTTCCATATAAATAGTTGTCTAATCTCTTCTTGAAACCCTCCAATGATGGAGCATCCACAACTTCTGGCAAACTATTCCACTGTCAAGAAATTTCTCCTTAGTTCTAAATTGATTCTCTCCTTGATTAGTTTCCATCCATTACTTCTTGTCCTGCCCTCAGGTGCTTTGGAGAATAGGTTGACCCCCTCTTGTCTGTGACTGCCCCTCAAATATTGGGAAGACTGCTATCATGTCACCCCTAGTCCTTCTCTTTGTTAGACTAGACATACCTAGCAGTGGTGGGTTTCAAAATTTTTTACTACTGGTTCTGTGGGTGTGGCTTGGTGGGCATGGCAGGGGAAGGTTACTGCAAAATCCCCATTTCCTCCCAATCAGCTGGGATGTGGGAGGAAGAGAATAGATGGGGGCAGGGCCAATCAGAGGTGGTATTTACTAGTTCTCCGAACTACTCAAAATTTCTGCTACCGGTTCTCAGAACTACTCAAAATTTCTGCTACGGGTACTTCAGAACTGGTCAGAACATGCTGAAACCCACCTCTGATACCTAGCTCTCTCAACCATTCATCGTATGATTTAGCCTCCAGATCCCTTATCATCTTTGTTGCTCTTCTCTGTAGAGTTTTTAGGGTCTCAGCATCTCTTTCTTATCCAAAAAGCCCCTTCCCAATTCTATCAGCCACATGAAATGTTATGCAATAGGATCAGGTGGCAAATCAGGCCCAAAATGGACAACGCACTTTGCACATGGAAAAAATCTCCAGGATCCATTTGCAAATTTCAAATTTCAGACACTTTGAATGTAAAAAAAAAAAACCCATTTAAAAAAAAACCCTAGATAACCTTCCATAAAGCAGCTATTTTATTCCACCTCTGGACAAGAATTCCTCAACCGTGCAATTTTCACACACGGATCTACGGACTGTGACACAAGAATGTTCTTTTCAACTTGGAGGGAAGCGGCGTCAGGTTTTCGCTCTTTGAATTGAGGAAACCAATCAACCCCAGATAATTTGTTTTAGGAGGGTAGAAAAAAAAAAAAAGAGCACGGTTGGTTTGATCATTGTGTAAAACTCCCAACGACACAGCCTTTCCATGGGGTAACTATGACCTCTAGTTGTTCTGCCGAATGTTAGCTGTGTTCTCCTCTGTAAATACACATTGCTCGTGCAAACAGAGGAAATTCCTCTGCAAAGACCAAAGGAAAGCAGAGTCCTTGAACTTTTTCCAAAAGGTTAGGTCAGCGTAGACTGGATGCTTTTTGGAAGGTCTTTTTGTACAGCAGTGCCTCTCAAATGTGGCCGCTTTAACTCATGTGAACTTCAGCTCCCAGAATTCCCCAGCCAACATTGTTGGAAACGCTATGAACATTCATTTAATATTTGTTAAAATAATAATAATAATAATAATAGTAATAGTAATTTGCAACTGAAATATGAACAGAAGGGGATGTCAACAGCGTCAGCCCTTTTAGAGGGGCAGAAACATAGGTCTTCATTCTAAAATGCGTGCAATTTTACATGGGTTTTTTTTTACAAAGGGGTAGAATGTAGTTTTCTTCCACAAGTGACTCCCACCGTTTCATTATAACCTTAGGGTCACCCTCTTTTTAGGTAAATGCCAGAAAATTGAGCTCCTACCCAAACTCAGTAACAGTAAAGTAACACAACAGAGTTGGAAGGGACCTTGGAGGTCATCTAATCCAACCCCCTGCTCACACAGGAGACCTGTACTAGGGATTCGAACCACCGAACTGCCGACCTTTCTGATCAACAAGTTCAGTGTCTTAGCTACTGAACCACCTAGCTGGGCTCACCAAACTCCAAGGTCATGAGAAGTTTTGAAGAGGTGCTTCGTCTTGGGAAGGCTTCAAGGACATTGGGCAAATGGATGCATCGTCATCTCCACCCTTAAAAAGCAATGTCTTGTTCTACCGGCTTCCTTTTGGGGGTTCTTCAGTCCAAAAGATTCTTCTGGATGCACCCCAGCAGATCATTGGGAGGGATAAACAGTCTTAGAAAGATGGATACCAATGCCTTGAAGCCAAGAGTGGACACCTCAAGGCAGGGGTGGGGTATCAGGGAACCATGTCAGCTTACAATAGCAAAAACATGAGGAGTCTGGTGGAATCCTTTCCACAGCTGGGGACAGCTTCTACTTTCTATGAAGTTTGTTAATTTTTTAAAAAATGCTGCCAGACTTCTCTGTAGAGATTTTCAGTCCTCGGGATCATGGTTATCCCAAAGGCCGCCCTGAATCTCCGGAGAAAGGCGGCATATAAATTGAACTAACTAACTAAATAAATAAAGGTGCTTTTTCAGGAGGCAACTGGATTTTCTTTGCTTTTCTTCTTTGAAGACGTTTTGCTTCTCATCCAGGAAGCTTCTTCAGCTCTGACAGGATGTGGATGAGAAGCAAAACGTCTTTAAAAGGAAAAAAAAAGAAAGTCCTGTTGCCTCCTCAAAAAGCACCTTTGGGACTACCAGACTTCTCTTTTTTTTTTTTTTAATGCCATAAAGCAGTAAACGAGAAGTACAACAGCAACTTCACAAACTCACAAAGGCTGAATCACTCAATCTGGATGCCGGTTTGTCTCATTTCTGGATTGATCCAATCCCAAGACACAAAATAACCTACATTGGGCTTACTCGACACGAGACCCCTTTATACAGACAAAACACATATGGAAATGCACCAACCACAAGTTCTGTGCTTGCAACTCCTGCAGCACAGCTGAACAGTTGCAGAAATTGGCTAGAATTACGGTGATGCAAGAGTAGGAATTCAGCCCAAATTGTGACCTAGGGCAGCAGATAGGACTTTAATCCTCTGGTAAACATACAACGCCGAGTTTCCCAGGACTTGGAGGAAGGCTGAGCCTCCGCAGACGAGACCTGCTCAGGTAGGTCAGCTGTTCTGAGCAAGAACCTGGCCCCTCCCAGACATCTGTTGCGAGTGAGTGGCAGGCGGGGCATTTGCTGCGTGTCAGTATCAGGTAAACGCCCCCGGATCACCTTTCCGTGCACCTCCTGAGCTAAGGAGGGAATGTGAGCGTTTCAACCAGGGGGAAAAAAACATATAAGGTAATTCGCAGAAGCAGCAGCTGCAGCTGTGGCAGCTTCTTCTTGAGCTGCGTGCCCTCCTGACCTGTGCCTGCTCCCCTCCTGCCCACCAAGATGGGAGCCAAGCACTGCTTTGCCAAGTTCTTCAAGGATGGGTCCTCCTTCCTCCATCTGGGTCGGAAATACCAGTCCCTGGGCAGCAAGGAGACAGGAGAGCAGGTCAGGAGGTTTGCTATGGAGGGATCGTTGGGTTGGAACTGACCATCTGACTTCTCCTCTGGGTCACTTTGGTTAATCTCCAGGGAGAAATTGTAGAGCAGTGTTTCTCAACCTTGGTAGCTTGAAGATGGGTGGACTTCAACTCCCAGAAACCCCCAGCCAGCGCTGTTGGCTGGGGGATTCTGGGAGTTGAAATCCACCCATCTTCAAGCTACCAAGGTTGAGAAACACTGCTGTAGAGGTTCTCCATCATCCAAGTCACGGCTGTCCCAAAGGTGCTTTTTATTTTTTTTCCAGGAGGCAACTGGACTTTCCTGTTTCTTTTCTTTGAAGGCGTTCCGCTTCTCATTCAAGAAACTTCTTTAAGCTCTGATAGGATAGTGGGGAATGGAAGGATTTATATGAAAAAGGGGGGGGGAAACATACAAGAAAGTCCAGTTGTCTCCTGAAGAAGCACCTTTGGGACTCCGGGGAGAGAGAGAGAGAGGGAAATGTGGGTCTTGCAAAGAGGGAGAAGAGCTGGTGGAGTCGCTCAGACCTGCGTGTGAGTTTGTCACTGGCTGCAAGTCTTAATAGGGACACAAAAGTGTTATTGTTCGGCTGAACCACCTACCGTATTCGGCTGGTGACTTCTCAAGTGACTCTCCCTGTTATCGCCCCCATTCAAAGTCTCTTAAAAGTAATTTTTAATCGTTCTAATGGCATTTTGCACAGTTCTTGTTAGACTTTGGGATTGATTCTCTTGGAGCGTCCGTTTAACATCATGGGAAGGAACGTCCTGGGAACGAATGAGTGGTGGAAGAATGGGAAAGGGGGAGGATCGACGTAGGCAGAGGAGGACAGAATGAACGTTCAACATGAGTCTCAACTCAAAGGGTTGACCTTCTGCTCTTCACTACTCTTAAACTTCCTCGCCTCTTCAGTTGTTGGGTTCATGCAGCTCTCTAA